GGATTATATAGCCCTATTTCTATAAACTAATATATGATTATGTAAAGGATTAATTATATAAAAGGAAATAGCTGAGTAGTAACATTATAAAGTGAGATATTCCTCAAGCCCTAACTGTGCCAGGGCTCTGCTTAGCTCTCATTCCTCGGTGCCTATATGGGGGGTTACCCACAGCCCAGGCTGGAGTCCAGTGGCATGATCACAGCTCACTGCAGCCTCGACCTCCCAGATTCGAGTACTCCTCCCACCTCAGCCTTTCAAAGAGCTAGAACTACAGGCGGGTGTCACCACGTTCAGCTAACTTTTGCATTTTTTTGGTAGTGATGGGGTTTCTCCATGTTGGGCAGGCTGGTCTTGAACTCCTGGGCTCAAGCAATCCACCCACCCCAGCCTCCCAAAGTGCTGGGATCACAGATGTGAGCCACTATGCTCAGCCAGATTTTATTTTTCTCTGAAAAAAATGGTAGATTTACATGGTTCAAAATTCAAATAGGTCCAGGGGTGAGCTCTGGAGTTTGAGACCAGCCTAGGCAAAAATAAGAGACCCCATCTCTATTTTTAAAAAAATTCAGCCAGGAGCAGTGGCTCACGCCAGTAATCTCAGCACTTTGGAAGGCCAAGGCAGGCAGATCACCTGAGGTCAGGAGTGCGAGACCAGCCTGATCAACACGGAGAAACCCTGTCTCTACTGAAAGTACAAAATTAGCCAGGTGTGGTGGTGTATGCCTGTAATCCCAGTTCTTGGGAGGCTGAGGCAGGAGAATCGCTTGAACCCAGGAGGCGGAGGTTGCAGTGAGCTGAGAACACAACATTGCACTCCAGCCTGAGCAACAAGAGTGAAACTCTATCTCTAAATAAATAAAAACGTACAGGCTTTGTATGGTTGGCTAAAAAAAATATCTGTTGGCCAGGCACAGTGGCTCATCTCTGTAATCCCAGCACTTTGGGAGGCTGAGGCGGATAGATCACAAGGTCAGGAGTTCAAGACCAGCCTGACCAACATGGTGAAACCCCATCTCTACTAAAAATACAAAAATTAGCTGGATATGGTGGAGCATGCCTGTAATCCCAGCTACTTAGGAGGCTGAGGCAGGAGAATCGCTTGAACCCAGGAAGTGGAGGTTGCAATGAGCTGAGATGGTGCCACTGCACTCCAGCCTGGGTGACAGAGTGAGATTCCATCTCAAAAAGGTATCTGTCTACATTCAAGCTGCAGTGAGGAAAAATTGATCTTTTCCCTACTCATTCAGTCCACAGAGCATGGTATCTTTCTCACTCCCAGCTCATAGAAATCAACAACTATTAAGCACCTACTGTGTGTCCATGGTGTATTTCAGTAGCTTTCAATCACCAATGGAATCACCCTTGGCCTGTCATTCCTACATGTGACAGCTTTTGTAATCCATGTGGAGGGAATAGGACCTTTCATGTCTTAAGCAGGTCTTATGTGCCAGGCGTTGCAGGGAGCACCACTCCAAAGAAGTAAACACCCTGACTAAAAGCATGGATGCTGGAGCCAGACTGCCTGGGTTCCAATCCCAGCTCTGCCACTTACCAACCATGTGACTTTGAACAAATTACATAATTTCTCTGTATTTCTCATTTTTAAAACAGGAATGAGTACTGCTATAAACATTTGTGTCCACCCCCCACCCCCAAATTCATATTGAAACCTAATCCCCAGTGTGATGTTATTTGGAGGTGAGGTCTTTGGGAGGTGACTATGTCATAAGGGTGGAGTTCTCACAAATAGTATTGCCCTTATAAAGAAGCCCGTCAGGCACAGTGGCTCACACTTGTAATCCCAGCACTTTGGGAGGCCAAGGCACGCAGATTACGAAGTCAGGAGTTGGAGACCAGCCGTGCCAAGATGACAAAACCCCATCTCTACTAAAAATACAAAAATTAGCCAGGCATGGGGGTACATGCCTGTAATCCCAGCTACTTGGGAGGCTGAGACAGGAGAACTGCTTGAACCCAAGAGGTGGAGGTTGCAGTGAGCCGAGATCACACTACTGCACTCCAGCCTGGGCAACAAGAGTGAAACTGTCTCAAAAAAAAAAAAAAAAAAAGAAAAGCAGCCTATGTGGTGGCTCATGCCTTTAATCCCAGCACTTTGGGCAGCCAAGGTAGAAGGATCACTTGAGGCAGGGAGTTTGATACAAGCCTGGTCAACATAGCAAGACTTCGTCTCTTAAAAAAAAAATCCTCAGAATACTCTAGTGCCCCTTCCACCATGTGAGGTTACAGCAAAAAGGCAGCCTCACCAGACACCGAATCTGCTGGTGCCTTGATCTTGGACTTCCCAGCCTCCAGAACTATGAGCAAAAAAATGTCTTTTGTGTATACACCACCCAGCCTATATTATTGTCATAGTCCCAAATAGGCTAAAACAAGTATTTACTGGCCAGGTGTGGTGGCTCACACCTGTAATCCCAGCACTTTGGGAGGCTAACACAGGCAGATCACTTGGGGTCAGGAATTTGAGATCAGCCTGGCCAACAAGATGAAACCCCGTCTCTACTAAAAATACAAAAAAATTAGCCAGAGGTAATCCCAGCTACTCGGAGGCTGAGGCAGAAGAACTGCTTGAAGGCAAGAGGCGGAGGTTGCAGCGAGCTGACATCATTCCACTGCATTCCAGCCTGGGCGACAGAGCAAGACTCTGTCTCAAAAAGACAAGTCCTTACCTCATAGGGTTGTTGTGATGATGCAATGAGTTTTATGAAGTAAGTGCACAGAATCGTGCCTAGCAGAGCGTAAGCATTACTTTAGCAATAAACAATAAGCATTACTTAAAGGGGACAGGAAGGCCCAAAGGAGCACGTTAAGGGACCTCCCAAGGCACTATAGCTATGAAGTCTAGCCAGATTCCCTTTTCCACACTGATTCCCACCTCAAACACCCTTTGCTCACCTTTGTATTGGTTATCTATTGCTGCATAACCTTACCACAAACTTAGCAACTTAGCACAATGCATTCACCATCTGTTCCTATGGGTCAGGAATCTGGGCACAGCTTAGCTGGGCCTCTGCAAGGCTGCAGACGGTGTTGGTCATGACTGGGGTCTCATCTGAAGGCTTACCTGGGAGTGATCAGCCTCCAAGCTTGTGTGGTTGTTGGCAGCATTTGCTTTCTTGCAGACTGCTGGACTGAGCTTCAGTTTCTTGTTGGCTGTCAGCCAGAAGCTACCTTCAGTAACTGGCCACCTGATCCTCTCCCAAGGGCAGCTCATACAACGTGACAGCTTCCTTCTTCAAAGCCAGCAAGAGAATTTCTCAGCAAGGCGGATGTTGCGGTCTTACATAAGGCAGCCATGAAAATAACATCTTGTCACCTTTGTGACAAGTCATAGGTTAGCAGTCATAGGTCTAGCCCATCTCAAAGGGCAGAGATTACACAAGGCTGTCAACAGCAGGTAAGGATCATGGTGACCACCTGGGAGTCTATCAGCCACACCTCCCAGTGCATCCAAATCCTTCCATTCTGCAGAGGGAAACTGAGGTCTAGCATACCCCCCAAAAAAACACCCATCTTCTACCATCCACCTACCAATTCGTAAACTCCAGTCAGGTGTAATTGAAGAGTTGCCTGGTTTGGGATTGAGTTTTCCTGGAGATTCTGGTCCTGTTATGAGTTTTTTTCAGCTGGGATTCCAGTTGGTGATGCAGAGCACCAAGCTGTCCCTTGCTCCTGCCACAGACCCCTCAAGGTGCTTTTCAGACTAGATTCCTGAGAGCTGTATCATCAGCTGTGCCACCTCCTCCTCTGTACCATGACGAACTGTTCTGGGTAGTTACCTGACTCCAGAGAAAGGTAATAAGGCCAAACAATACAATGAGCATCTACTAGTGCCTCATCTGAGTGATGCTCAGAAGAAAGTGCAGCCTGTGGCCACACATCTAACCAGGGGATAGCCTAAGATACTAGGGCCTGGTCTGTCTCCACAATCCAAGTGCTGATCTTCAACGGTACAAAATACTTTTTTTTTTCCTTTTTCAGAGAGTCTTGCTCTGTCATCCAGGCTGGAGTACAGTGGCACAATCTCAGCTCACTGCAACCCCCGCTTCCCGGGTTCAAGCAATTCTCATGCCTCAGCTTCCCAAGTAGCTGGCATGCACCACCATGCCTGGCTTTTTGTATTTTCAGTAGACAGAATTTCACCACGTTCTCCAGGCTGGTCTCGAACTCCTGACCTCAGGTGAGCTGCCCACCTCAGCCTCCCAAAGTGCTGGGATTGCAGGGAGGAGCCACCACGCCCAGCCATGGTACATACTTCTAATGCAGTTTCCTCTACATCTAGGCTTTCTGATTTCCACCCTCCAAGTACTTAAAAGTAACTCATCCAGAGGGCATTAATGCTATGTGAAATCAACACAAAAGTTACTACTCCTGAGGATCCTTTGATGTAATCTCCTTATGCTTATTCAATGGGCAAGAGGATCTTCAATTTCTTTTCTCCTCTCTACACTGCTTCTTAGTCAGAGTAGCTATTTCCATAGCAATAAAAACTGCATCTTTCTTACAGAATCCTCAGGCAAAAGAAGTTGTGACTTTTTAAAAATTTTTAATTCTTTTAGAGAATTCTTTAGGGTCTCAGTGTGCTCTGGGCATCTGCACCCCTTTACTACTTAGGGAGATGCTTCTGCGGGTAGGTTTGGTGGAGGGCAGAAAGCAAGGAAGGGCCAGACCCTCGAGCACAGCAGCCTGTATCACAAGACTCCACAAGAGGAGATTAAGCCCCACACAGTGATTCAAGCAACTACTTCCCCATCACCCAAAAGATGATGAAAAGACCCAACTATCCTAGAGAACACAGGAGAGGTTACCAACTGCCTTAGACAACAGGGTTGGATTTCCTCACTTTGGCCAACCTGACACCCTGGCCCTGAACTTTCAATATGGACACTTGGTGAACGATGCGGCCACCAGTCTAGCTGTGGCACGCTGGAGAGTTTAGCAGCCACGCTACCAGAAACAGGTTCATCTTTCACATATAATGACAGAAGTAAAAATATTTATTTTATCTTAAAAATTTGGTCCCACAAAAAGGCCAACACTTTTTTCAGTTCATGGTCTTGACCCTTGAAAAAAGAAATCTTTCAACTGAGAGGTAAGTTGATAAAAGGAATTTCAGAGGTGCGTTCAGATTTCTTACAAGCCAGTAATCCAAGCAACCCTGGACTTCTAGTTTACTGAGCTCCTTCGGCTAGTCATTCACAGTTCCTGAAGGAGAAAAGAAAGAAGTTGTTTGCAGATAAGGCACTTTAGAAACCACCAGAGAGAAACCCAAGTCTGCCAGGAGCTGCGTTGTGAATCAGTGAGCCCAGAGGGCCGCGAGCTGACAGGAGTGCTGACTCCCACAGCTCCACGCCGACAGCTTCCACCTTCCTGCCCCAACACCATTCCAGCCGGCTTCCAGCACCCGCCTTGGCTCTGTGTTGCCTAAATGGTCTAGAATACATGGAAACCAGACAACTGGCCAGAGATGAACACTGCTGCCTGAAACTCAGGGCAGCCACTGACAGTGAGGAATGCCTTCAGAGACACCGCTGGAGCACACTGAGGGAGCAGTTCTTTTTGCAAAGATGAGTTAGTGAGGATCAGCACATTAGCAAAGCAAAACATTTAAACATTTTTAAAAGCTGCTTAATCCTTCCAATTTCCCTCCTAAGCTCAAGCTGTAGCCTCTAAACCTGCTAAAAATCAGGAAGGAGCCCCTCCTCTGTAAGGACAGATGGACTGAAGTGGCTACAGCCAGTGTGGGTAAAGAAAGCCCCCCACTGAACAGTGATTACATGACACCTGCAGATCAGGAAGGGCTGATCTGAATCCAGGCAGCAAACTCAACCCATTCTTTTGCTTTAGGGGCTTGTGTTTAATACGTGTCAATGCGATAGAAGAAGTCTCAGGGTCTCTCTCATGTCAAGAGGACAGATGGGGACAGGGATCCTGGAGCTTTTCTTCTTTGGTGTACTGGTTGCATACTTGAATCCCAGGAAACAGTGTGACACGATGCCAATTTACTGCCAGACATGCCCAGTTTGTCAACAGAGCCAGGCAAGGAGAGAGGAGAGATTCATGCTCCAAACACAGGCCAGCTGAGGAATGCTTCGCCCTCCTTCCTTTGGCCCAGATGAGGGAGCTCCTTCCCAGAAGTCACATGAGGAAAAATTGTGCTCAGGTCAGAACTGGACCCAGCCTGGTTGGGTCTGGCTGGAAGTTGATCTGTAAAGAGAAGACAGGGAAGGGTGGACGAGTTCAGATCTTTGAAAATACAAAGCAGATAAAAGCTGGTTTTTCTCTGGACAGAAAAAGCCCTAAGAAGCCAGTTCCTAAGAGCAGCAGTCAGCAAACTTTGCCTCAGAGACCAAATATGGTCCCCAGTGGTTTTTCTTTTTTTTTTTTTTAATAGTTAATATAACTTTATTTATCAAAATTTTTGTTGTTGAGATGGACTCTGGCTCTGTCACCCAGGCTGGAGTGCAGTGGCGCAATCTCAGCTCACTGTAGCCTCCACCTCCTGAGTTCAAACGATTCTCCTGCCTCAGCCTCCCGAGTAGCTGGGACTACAGGTGCCCGCCACCACATCCGGATAATTTTTGTATTTTTAGTAGAGATGGAGTTTCACCATATTGGCCAGGCTGGTCTCAAACTCCTGACCTCAGGTGATCTGCCTGCCTCGGCCTCTCAGTGCTGGGATTACAGGCATGAACCACAGTGCCCAGACTTTTTTTTTTTGAGAGAGGGTCTCATTCTGTTGTCCAGGCTGGAGTGCAGTGGCACAGTCAAGGCTCGCTGCAGCCTCAACCTCTTGAGCTCAAGCAATCCTCCTACCTCAGCCTCTCTAGTAGCTGGAACTACGTGACTAGTTAATTTTTGTATTTCTTTTAGCAGAGATGGGATTTTGCCATGTTGCCCAGGCTGGTCTCGAACTCCTGGGCTCAAGTGATCCGCCTGCTTTGGCCTCCCAAATTGCTGGGATTGCAGGTGTGAGCCAACACGCCTGGCTAAAGGGCTTAACCCCTTCCCATCTAGGAAAAAAGAGTGCAACTCACCGTCAGCCCTCATTTAATTTTACATAAACATACTCTTTGAGGCTGAAGCAAATCTGATTTTGAATGTGAAAATAAAATTGAAAACTGTTATTGGAGTTATTTTAGAATCATGTGAATCATCAGTCTATTTTGGAAAAACTGGCCTCCTCAAATGAATCTTAGGCTAAAAACTCTTCAAGAACAATGTTAACATCACGTGTAAGAATGCTATGTTTTCCAGGATTTGACATTTTCAGCAATCGAGAATTACGGTATTTTGGGCCTGGCGTGGTAAGTAGTTCACACCTGTAATCTCAGCACTCTGGGAGGCCCAGGCAGGTGGACTGCTTGAGTACAGGAGATCGAGACCAGCCTGGGCAATATAGCGAAACTCTACCTCTACTAAAAATACAAAAAATTAGCCAGGGGTGGTATCACTTGCCTGTAGTCCCAGCTACTAAGGAGGCTGAGGTGGGCTAATCACCTGAGCCTGGAAGGGCAAGGAGGCAGTGAGCCAAGATCACGCCACTGCACTCCAGCCTAGGCAATCAGAGTGAGACCTTGTCTCAAAAAAAAGAGAGAATTACTATATTTTGTAAACAGAAATGCCACTACTAAGAACAGAATGCTATAAACAGAATGAGGTCTTTATGTTTCGAAAGCTGATATACTAGAGCAATGCGAAAAGAATAATAAAAGCAATATATTTTGTGGCAAAGTTATCACAGGGTAAGTGCTGCAGCCTCAAGTGCCACTGGTAAGTTTTCTCAGGGCAAACAGGAAAAGGGTTAAAGTAGTTGTTTCATGGCTCTGGTTTTTTTGTTTCTTTTGAGATGGAGTCTCACTCTTGTCACCCAGGCTGGACTACAGCGGCATGATCTCGGCTCACTGCAACCTCCACCTCCCGGGTTCAAGCAGTTCTCCTGCCTCAGCTTCCCAAGCAGCTGGGAATACAGGTGCTGTGCCACCACGCCCAGCTAATTTTTGTTTTTTTTTTTTCTTGAGACAGAGTCTTGTTCTGTCACTCAGGCTGGAGTGCAGTGGTGCGATCTCAGCTCACTGCAACCTCCACCTCCTGAGTTCAAGTGATTCTCCTGCCTCAGCCTCCTGAGTAGCTGGGATTACAGGCACCTGCCACTGCATTCGGCTAATTTTTGTGTTTTTAGTAGAGGCGAGGTTTCACCATGTTAGTCAGGCTGGTCTCAAATTCCTGACCTCTTGATTCACTGGCCTCGGCCTCCCAAAGTGCTGGGATTACAGGCGTGAGCCACCGCACCTGGCCTAACTTTTGTATTTTTAGTAGAAACAGGGTTTCACCATGTTGTCCAGGCTGTTCTCGAACTCCTGACCTCAGGTGATCTCTGCCTGGACTCCCAAAGTGCTGAGATTACAGGCATGAGCCATCATGCCCGGCCCATGCCTCTGTTTTTGTAAATAAAGTTTCATTGGCACATAGCCATGCCAATTCGGTTACATTTGTCTGTGGCTGCTTTTGTGCAACAAGAGCTGAACTGAGTAGCCAGAACAGAGACCACATTGCCTGAATAGTCTAAACTACTTGCTATCTAGTTCTTTACAGAAAATGTGGCTGGGCATAGTGGCTCATGCCTATAATCCCAGCACTCTGGGAGGTTGAGGTGGGCAGATCACTTGAGCCCAGGAGTTCAAGACCAGCCTGCACAACATGGCAAAATCTCATATCTACAAAAAAATACAAAAAATAGCTGGCGGTGGTGTGCACCTGTAGACCCAGCTACATGGGAGACTGAGGTTGCAGTAAGCCGTGATCGTGCCACTGCACTCCAGCCTGAGTGACAGAGACCCTGTCTTAAAAAAAGAAAAAGAAAATGTATGCTGTCCCATGTCCTAGAATCTGTCCATATAAATAATATAAATAACAGTGCAAAAGGAATTTGGTGTCTTTTCACCCTTGCCCCAAGCGCAGTCTTGAAATCTTATGGAGTCAGAGAAGACAAGCCACCTTGCCTCACAGGTCCTATGAGGATGGGCCCAGGCTGCAACCTGGTTCTGAACTCTAGGGTCCAGTATTTTAGGGAAGCTGGGGGTGGGGGATGGGGGAGAGAAGAAGGAGGTGCTGGGGACAAGCCAAAGCACTTGGGGAGGTGATTGAAAGGTCCAGATTTGCTGGGTGCGGTGGCTCAGGCCTGTAATCCCAGCACTTTGGGAGGCTGAGGTGGGCAGATCACCTGAGGTCAGGAGTTTGAGACCAGCCTGACCAATATGGTGAAACCCCATCTTTAAAAAAAAAACAAAACAAACAAACAAACAAAAAGAAAGGTCCAGATTTGCAAAAGGTTGCCCCAGGGTACACAGCAGCAGAGAGCAGCAAAACCTCCATGGAAATAGTGTGCCACCCAAAGCAGGCATGCTGGGGCCTCTTGTCCTCTGGCTGACTTGAAAACATCCAAATCAGGCCAGGCGCAGTGGCTCAAACCTATAATCCTAGCACTTTAGGAGGCCAAGGAGGGTGGATTGCCTGAGGTCAGGAGTTCGAGATCAGCCTGGCCAACATGGTGAAACCCCATTGCTACTAAAAATACCAAAAAAAAATTAGCCAGGTGTGGTGGCGGGCGCCTATAATCCCAGCTACTTGGGAGGCTGAGGCAGGAGAATTGCTTGAACCCAGGAGGCAGAGGTTGTAGTGAGCCAAGATCATGCCATTGCACTCCAGGCTGGCAACAAGAGTGAAACTCCCTCTCAAAAAAAATAGAAAATCCAAATCAAAACTATTACTCCATAACACCAGAAGGCAGACATGGGTTCCGGAACAATACCAAGTTTGTAGAGCAACAGCCCTGTCACCAGTCCCACCACAGAACATGGCCCTCCTCACCCTGTAGATTTGGTAAAGTCTCCCCAGATGTCAGCGGTGGCAGCGGTGGCAGGCTTGGGCTGTGGCCAGGGTACAGAAGCACCTCCTATTGATGTTCCCGAGTCCGATCCATGGGAAGAGAAGAGGGGACAGGGGAGTCAGAGACCTCTCTTTCTGGTTGTGTCCATGACCAAATAATGAGACTCAGTGATCAGTCTCACGACACCAGGTGGCTGGGAAAGCCCCACAGAGACATGATTTGGGGCAACAAAACACCATTTGGGCAACAAAAGTTGCCACACTTCCAGGGTCTTCTCACCAGCCCTTGAGGGCTCTAGAGAAAAAGCAGAAAGCCACATACAAGGTGGAAGGAGGGATGCCGGTAGGGGGTGGTGAGTCCCATGTCATCTATCATGCATACCTGAAGCTGACTTTGTTATCAACTGTTTACGCTGAAATCTATTTAACATATACTATATCCTGTCTCGGCTTCTTGAATGGAGAATGTCCACCAAAACTGCAAGATCATCTTCATATCAAGCCTGCACTACCATGTCTGGATCAAGTAGCTGAGAACACTATGTGCCAGCCACATGTCAAGTCCCAGGCCCCAAGCTGGGTAGGGGTCAGGAAGAGCGTTCCAAAGAGCTAACACAGAGGCTCATTCCTATCTCTCTACCAAGGTGGGTGGCACCATGGGGCTGCAATGCCTGCTTTTGTGCTTTTCTGGCACCTCCCCCAGTGCTGCCAACTGTCCCTTCTGAAGGGCCTGTGTTTGCCACCCTCCGCCTTCACGCTAATTTGCTATTTCTAATCTGCTCTGGGCTAGGAGAACAGATAAAACTAGGGCCCTCAATGGTTACAGTACATCAAATGCTCAACACACATTCTCTTCTTTGAACCTCACCCAGCCCCTAGGGAGAGACAGATCAGGACCAGCCACGTGTCTGTGCAGGTCATTTCAGTTTCCATTTTCTTCCCTCTAAAATGGCAAAAATAACAGTAACTACTCCATGAAACTAGTGTGAGGATTAAATATCCACGGAATGCTTAGGACAGGCCCAGCAGAGTGGCAATAACGATATCAACAAAATGAGAGGTAACATTCAGTGAGCATTTAGAATGTTCCAAAAATTATTCTAAGTGCTATACACAGACCAGCTCACAAGAAACCTATATTGTAAGTATCATTACTTCCCCCACCCTACAGATGAGAAAAATGAGGCATGGAGAAGTGATTTTCTAAAGATCACACAACTAGGCTGGGCGTCGTGGCTCACACCTGTAATCCCAGCACTTCGGAGGCTAAAGCGGGTGAATCACCTGAGGTCAGGAGTTCGAGGCCAGCCTGGCCAACATGGTGAAACCCTGTCTCTACTAAAAATATAAAAATAAGCCAGGCATGGTGGTGGGCACCTGTAATCTCAGCTACTCAGGAGGCTGAGGCAGGAGAATTGCTTGAACCCGGGAGGCAGAGGTTGTGGTGAGCTGAGATCATGCCACTGTACTCCAGCCTGGGTGACACAGTGAGACTCCATCTCAAAAATCAATAAAGATCACAAAGCTGGTAAGCTGAAATTTGAACCCAACCATATTATTCTGGAGCATATAGTAAGCGCTCCATAAATATTGCTATTCCTGACTTATCATCTGACACCATTTTGTTTGTAGACATGCTAACTGCCTGCCTCAGATACCAGAACACAAGCCTTTGAGAGCCAGAACTTGACGCTGTACCGGCCTGTGCCTAGAACTTTACCTGGCACACAGCAAGCACGCCGTATTAACTGTTAAAAATGCATCAGCAACTGAGGGAAGGCCTAAGGTAGCAGCTCTCAGACTTTACTCAACACACAAACTAGACATAAGAATGCAGATTCTTGCCCATACCCCCTTGCGATGCCAAGGCAAGTGGTCCTATGACCCCACTCTGGGAAATAACCCTTAAAGAACAGCTCCTGGTATCCGGCAGGGATTCTCTGACTGCCCCTTCTGCCACTCTCCAGACTGGAGCATTCCCCACAGGGCTGAGGTTTGAAGCATGACCTCCAGATAGGGGAGCCGATGTTGGGGACTCTTAGGAAAGCAGGACGGCTTCCTGCCTGCAAGCTGGGGAGAGCTGTGTGCAGAAGGCAGGCTAGTGACAATCCCCCAGCCCGGGGAAGGCCAGGAGCATCAAGCTGGGCCAGTCAGGGTCGGGAGGTAGATGCAAAGGGCTGGCACTCCAGCGTGGTCAGAGGCTAATGCTAGGCACTCGCTTCTGGAGTCCCAGGGTCTCCTAAGGGCTCCTCAGCACAACCTGCTGGGGCAAATGCTCTCAGCTTCCCAGACCCGAGGTTCTCACTCCAAACAAAATCTCATTTCCCACCACTCACCTTGGCACACCTTGTGCTATACCCATCTCCCTAAATACACCAGGTGTCTAAAAATCTGAGCCTCATTCATGTTCTTCTCTCTGCCTGGAATGCCAACCACTCCCAATCCATCTCCTTCCTTCAAGGTCCAGATCGATGTCACCTCTTCCGTGAAGCCGCCCAGATCACACCGGCTGGTGGTGGCTCTAGGCCCTATATATTTGGTCTCTGTGCTGTGACTCATCACTCCCACTACACATGAGCAGAGACCATGTCTCCATTACGCACTCACTCGGTACCCTCTGGGCAGACACTAGAGACCAGGAACTGACACGCTGATGATTTCACAGTAACAAACAAGTCCCAGCTCCTGCCTCTCAGGGCAGGGAGAAAGCCCTAAAGGGGAAGTAGGAGGAGCCCCTTACCCAGTGTGTGCAGGATCAGCTTTGGGTACCCACCTTCTGCTTTGACACGGACGAGTACTACATGGTGAACTCGTGTGTGTGACAGAGGGAACACCATGGGGCCCAGCTGCCAGTGAGAAGAGGACCCCCCCGGTACCGATCCAGCAGTCACCCACTGAGCACTGACCTGAAGTGGGGGCAACTGCTGGCTGGACGAGGGATCCCCCCACCAACAACTGCTCCCCAGGGGGAGGGATGAGGGTGGAGGTTTTGCCCCCTGGGGGAGGGGGAAGCAAGCTCAACCCTCCTGTGCTGGCAGGCCGGGCTCGGGGATTCCCGGCTGCTCCTTCCTTCTTCTTCATGTTCTAAAGAGGGAAGAGGAATGCAAATCAGCCAGTCCTGCTGGAGTCCCACTGCCACCAGAAAACCCCACGAGGAGGGCCACGGTGACCCCAGACCCCCAACATCTGTGTAACCAAAAGATGGCCCTACCTAACACCCCCATTGTTACGGGCTATATCTAATGCATCATAATTCTGAATCTATCACAAATAAGGTTCATTTTAAAACCCAGCACCCCACTTCATTCATCAGGGAAATGCAGATCAAAGCTACAATGACAGCCATTCTCGCCAGAATGGCTAAAATGTAGATTATCAAGTATTGACTATGATATGGAGTCAACATTCATGCACTGCTGGTCAAAGTGTAAACTGCTGAACTACTCTGAAAGATTATTTGAAAGGATCTATAAAGCTCAACATAGGAAGTTAAACTTATGACTCTGCAATTCCACTCCTAGATGTAAACCAACAGAAATCATACATATATGCATCAAAAGACATGAACTCAAACATCTACAGCAGCACTATTTCTAATAGCCCCAAACTGGAAACTACCCAAATGTCCATCATCAGTAAAACATAAATCAGTTGGGTAAATTCTCACAATGGTATATGCCACAACAATGAGAATGAACAAACTACATGCAACACCATGGATGACTCCTACGAAAATGACATTGAGTAAAAGAAAGAAATCACACCACAACAGGACTAGATGTATGATTCCATTCATGAAAGTTAAGAACAAGCAAAATCTAGGGTATCTGAAGTCAGGATAGTGGTTACTCAGGGTAGTTACTGGAAGGGATCAGGAGAGATACCTCCAGAGTGCTGACAATCTTTGCTTCTTGAACTAGGTATGAATTTATAAATTGGGTTTTTAAAATTTCACTGAGTTCTGCATTTATGATTTGTACACTTTTTTACATGCATACTATACTTCAAGAAAATGCTTTAAAAAAACAAACAAAAAACTGAGCACCAAGCATGAGCCAGAAACCAGCACAAGTCACGCAGATGAATGAAGGTAATGTGTTCCCTACTTGTACGGAAAGCAGTCGCTTGAAAGAATAGTAAGTCCAACCCTGAAGTCAACAGACCTCAAAGACCTCAGTGTGAGTCCCGCTGTGCCAGCTGTTTCTAGCTCTGTCACCCTGGGCAAGTCCCCAACTCTCCCTAAGCCTCTATTTCCTCATCTCATAGAGGAAAGGGAGAGGATGTTTAAATCATATGAGAAACACCTAAAAACACTACCTGGCCCACAGCTGATGCTCATTAAATGTTAGTTGCCTCCAAGCGAGAGAAAGAATCACATCCCAACCAGTCCACTGGATTGGACTTGCATTTCTCTCTTAAGGGCCAGCTGGCCAACTTCAAGGATCCCAAATCATCACCAGCATGAAGCAGAAAAGAGGAGAAAGAGATGGTAAGAGGAAAAGCATTATTTCAGAGTTACAAAGCTTCAAAAACACATCTCAACACAGTATTCCTGCCAAAAACAAAAGCCAATCCACTTGGTCCTTGGGTCCCCGAAATCATGACTCTGATTTCATCTCCCCACTCCACCCTTGCAGCCAAGTAAAGGCCAACTTTAGGCAACTGAGCCCAGCCCAGCCCAACCTGTTCCTATGAATAGGAGCTGAAAGAGGAAAAGCCAGAGGCAGAGTAGCTCAGAACAAAGACATGGGAGCCAGGATAACACCATCAGCAGAAGCCGTGCAGGACTCCTAGTGCCCACCTCAACGGCTTCCTGACAGAACTCTCCCAAATCTTCCTTATTCAAGATGCAGCCTGGGATGAACACACGAGTCCCTCTGATCCACTCTAATAGCTAGGACAGAAACACCATCTCTGGCAGCAAGTGACTGATGCTCCTCAGCTCAGAGGCTTTGCATCTGCTGTTCCTGTGTGAACCACCCTTTGATCATTCTTCCCTTGCCTACAGGTCCCTTCTTCCAGGAAGCCTTCCTTGGTTCTCACAACTATGGGCTGCATGCCCTTCCTCTAGCACCCAGGGCACCCCTCAGTCATGGAACCTTTCCTGCCATGTTGTAATCACATCTTTACCTGCTTGTCTCAACTCAACTCTGAGCTCCATGACAGCAGAGGTCTCTCGTTCACCCCTGGTGCAGGACCTGGCACAAGGCAGATGCTCACTGAACATTTGGTGAACTGAAGGAGCTGAACTGTAAGGGGAGCGATGGGCTCTGGACTGGTTGGCCACAAATATCACGTGACCATGGCCACCACGGCCAAGCAAGGGTGGAACTCACTGCGATGTTGAGCTTGATGGTCTGGCCCTCCTTGAAGCCCAGGTCCAATTTGGGGCTTTGGTCTGGGTTCTGGGCTTGTTTTGCAAATTCGCACTGCTGTTTCACCCACCTGGGGAGAGAACATGAGGAAAACGGTAAGGAAGGAAGAGACCAGCTGCCCTGCAATCACTGGCTCACTTCACTGCTGCCTGCCATCAGTCCAGGCTGAGGCTCATAGGGAGATGGGGTGGTAGAAAGAGTGCAGGCTTGGGAGTGAGGCCTGAATTCAAATCCTGCTCTGGCACTTAAGTAGCTGCATGCGCAGTGGTTTCCTTGTCAGCAAAATATGCCAACAATTCTATAGGTCTTCAAGATAGCTACGAGTTCAGTGAGATCACTTGCATAGAGGGTCCTAACACTTGTCTCTGGGACACGTGAGAGCCTGCCCTTCCCTCTGCAGCTTGTGGCCTGGGAACTAAGATGTGATCTCTACACACCCCTGAACACTCAGGAGGCAGATGGGAGACAAGACAGATACCCAGAAGTAGAGGGCAACACAAAGGTCACCCACCCTCCATACCACACCACCCAGCATCTCCAGGTCAGGGAAGAGCCAGAGGCACCCACACGAGTGGCTGGGCACAGCCCACCCACTGGCAGTCTGAGGTGGGGCCCTGCAGATGGTGGAGGAGGGCTTCCTGCCCTGTCCCTTAGCTTCAGAAAAGGACATCAGGGCATCTGCTGGGTGCCCTGGGAATCCAAGCACCACTGACTACATGGAGGAGCAGGCCCAGAAAGGTCACAGGAGCCTCATGAGGACTCTGGCTGCTCAGGGGCGTGGTAAGGGAAGACAGGTGGCAGGCCTGAAGGCCAGTATGGTAGAGATCGGCCCTGGGTAAAGGAAAAGGCTTTAGAGCAGAGATGAACATTGGCAGAGAAGAGAGGTGGCTTGCCCTGGGTTTTCCTGAGTCTCTGCTGCCAGACAAATCACACACAACCAGTTGGGTATCCTAACCTGGAAGATCATTCTGCCCAGGGAAAGAAGGCAGGGGCATGAGCATGTATCTCCCAGAACCACTCACTTGAAATGATCCTGCAATGCAACATTGAAGTCAAAGGCATCACCTCGGTCCCCGAAGCCAATTCCAATAAACGCCCGTCGCCCTGGGGGGGACAAAAAAATATCAATCCCACCTTCCAAAGGCATAGAAAACCTTTCTCAAGAGGAGGAAGCACCAGGACCCATGCCTACCGTTTCCATCTTCAATGCGGATCACGAAGTACCTGCTGGAATCCGTCACGCTCTCCACAGCTGTGCCAGGAAACTGATCCACTGGGGCCTGAGCAAAGAGCTCCCCTGAAAGCACAGGTCAGGCTGAGCCCTGAGCCCCTTTCCAGCCAGGTGTTTCTACCATACATACCACTGGGCCTTTTTCCTGCAAGGCACCTCTAGCCAGCTGAGACAGATTGGCAAACCTTACTCTGGGATTCAAATCAAATCCATTCTTGCTAAAGGGAAGACACAGAAAATATAACCAAGGAAAGATTTAAGTTAGAGATGGCTTACAGGTCAAATTTAGCCCACAGTTTAGTATTTTGCCTGGCTTCTCTTAAAATTAACCTCTATCAATGCTGAGCCTCCAAGCCTACCTGAGAATAAGCCCACCCGTTCCATCTGCTTTACCCACTTACATTACCTGCCCAAACCCTGAGTGTCCTAGAACAGGTGAGCCCTGCCCTAGGTACACCTGTAAGAGGGGCCAGTGAGCCCCATGGAAAGAAGGGAGGAAGTTTTCACACCCATAGACAATCTGAAGCAGGCTGATTTAATTCAATCCTAATTACAGGGTAAGTGTGATTAGCTTTAAAAGGATCCTTTGTGAAACACATCCCATTGTCAACTACAGCACTCCCCAGGCGCAGTGCAACCTAAAACTTCCATGAGCATTTATAATAGGCATCAGTTTTTCACATGTGCTGACCTCTGTTAGTGCTTTTAGTATTTTTTGTTTTGTCTTTTAGAGACAGGGTCATAGACTGGGTGTGGTCCCAGCACTGTGGGCACTGTGGGAGGCTGAAGTAGGATATGTTGCTTGAGCCCAGAAATATGATTTATACCTTTTTTTTTTTTTTTTTTTTACCCCTGAGATGGAGTCTCGTCCTATTGCCCAGGCTGGATTGCAGTGGCGTGATCTCAGCTCACTGCAACCTCTGCCTCCCAGGTTCAAAGAATTCTCCTGCCTCAATCTCCCGAGTAGCGGAGTTTTAGATTCAATTGCCTGAATCTAACCAGGTGCCCGTCACCGCACCCGGCCAATTTTTGTATTTTTAGTAGAGGTGGGGTTTCACTATGTTGGCCAGGCTGGCCTTAAACTCCTGACCTCAAGTGTTTCGCCCGCCTCAGCCTCCCAAAGTGCTGGGATTACAGGCATGAGCCACTGCACCCAGCCAAGCCCAGGAATTTGAGACCAAAATGAGCAACATGGGGAAACCCGTCTCTACAAAAAATATAAAAATTAGCCAAGCATGGTGGCATGCACATTTAGTCCCAGCTCCCTGGGAGGCTAAGGCAGGAGGATCCCTTAACCCCAGGAGAGTCGGAGGATGCAGTGAGCTGCGACTGCGTCACTGCACTCCAGCCAGGGTGACCAAAAAAAAAAAGAAACAGGGTCATGTTCTGTTGCCCAGGTTGGAGTGCAGTGTGCAGCGGACCATAGCTCACTGTAGCCTCGACTCTTGGGCTCAAGTAATCTTCCTGCTTCAGCCTCTCGAATAGCTGGGAATACAGGCACATGCCACCATGTCCACTCAATTTCTTTTAATAGAGATAGGGTCTCGATATGCGGTCCAGGCTGCTAACTCCTGGCCTCGTGATCCTCCCACTTTGGTCTCCCAAAGCCCTAGTGTTACAGGCATGAGTCACACCTGGCTGGTGCTTTAAGTATTTAGCCAAATACCTTCTACTGAGTCCTGTGGTTTAGAGGTAACTTTTTCTTTTTCAGACAGTCTTGCTCTGTCACCCAGGCTGGAGTACAGTGGCAAAAATCTCAGCTCACCGCAACCTACACCTCCTTGGTTCAAGTGATTCTTGTGCCTCAGCATCCGAAGTAGCTGGGATCACAGGTGTGCACCACCGCACCTGGCTAACTTTTGTATTTTTATTAGAGACAGGGTCTTGCCATATTGTCCAGGCTGGTCTGGAATTCCTGGGCTCAAGTAATCCACCTGTCTTGGCCTCCTGAAGTGCTGGGATTACAGGCATGAGCTACCATGCCCGGCCTAGAGGTAATTTTGTAATCAAGGCTGAACTGATTCAAAACCAACAGCCCTAGAATCTGCAGCTTGTCAATTTATCTGCCTTCTGTTCCAACCTCAACAAGATACCTTCAGCCTATAGCAGTTCTCAATCAGGGGCGATTTTGCTCAGCAATGTCTAGAGATAATTTTGATTGTCACAACTCGGGGGGTGCTGCTAAATATCCTCAGTGGGCTCCACAGCTCTCCAAAACAAAGACCCATCTGGCCCCAAATGTCAACAGTGCTGAGGCTGAGAAAGCCGGGCCTAGAGTGATATGCTCATTACCTCATGGGAAGGTCAGAGACTAACGTGACCCACGTATGACCTTAAGCTAAGAGCACCTTAGGGTGGGTCCCACAGGGCAGGCTCAGCCCTGGGCAGTGGCTGTTACATTAGGCAGTCATGTTAAAGTCACAGTTCCCAAATTCCCCAGAGAACGAGAGGTGTTACCATTCTCTCATGACACTACCTGGGATATCCCAGCAATTCTCCAGCTAAAATCCTCTGGTCTGGCCATGGCAGCTGCCTCTTCAAACTCCTCTGCCGCCAGTACCCAAGTTCCCAAAGAACAAATCAATGCTTTGGGTTGCCTTGCAGTTCATAAAGCGATTAGATAAATAACTGCTCACTTCCTGTCTCCAACACTCTTATGAAGGAGGAATTACTATGATCCTCATTTCAACAAGAAGGAGGCCAAGGCTCCAGAGGTCACATGGCTCACCCAACGTCCAGCAGCTCAGGCAGAACATAGTTCTGAGAAGAGGCAGCCAGTTCTGTCTCTAAACTTTTGCACTTTCTTCTGCTCTACAAAGGAAAATCTCCACAGATTAAAAAAAAATGACTGCATGTTGTGGCACCTGACTGGGCCAGCACTATGTCTGACCCCACTCGGGGTCACGGCTAGGGGGACTCCAGAGGCACTGGTGGCCCAGGACTTCTGAAGTCTCCCTCAAGACGATCTCTGCCAGCTGACCCCAACACAACCCAGCTCAGCTTGTCCTCTCCCTACAGAAAGAGCTGAGTAGGACAGTTTTCAGCTCCTTCAGTGAATGGGTGTGGTCAGCTCTGGGAGTTTCGGCTGCGTTGACAAATAATTCCTCTGTAGGAAGCAGAGCCCAGCGGTAGAGGCTGTGTATCTTCACCCCGCCTGTCTTCAAGGTCCATTCCAGGGCTTCCTACTTCCTACCCAGACCAAGCTGCAGTCTCCTTTCCTTGGCCTCCACCTTTTCCTGAGGACTCCCAAAAAGAACTGGTGTTTGACAGGAAATACTCGTTTTTATACCCGGGGACAGTACATTCTACAACTAAGGTGAGGGAATGGTACAGCTTAAAGGTACACACACATCTCCGACTTTCAGGACAGGTTCCCATGACCCCTGAGCAGCCTGGTCAGACCAGGCCAACTCTCCCTTCATAAAGTGGGAGTGCACCCCCTCAGCTTGGAGCGGCCTCCCTTACGGTTACCTGAGGTCCTGTCCTCTAGCTTGATGTAGGCCATCTGCCCCTTTGCAGTGATCCTCAGCCGGCCACTCCATGATGGCTGGTCCAGCTGCCACTCCGCGGCCCTGAAGAGACAAACACCACTGAACCTCTGCCAGAGGCTCCTGCTTCGTGACCCCAATGCTGGGGATGGAAAGGACTGCTTGTTCTAGCCCAAGGGTTGGCAAACATTTTCTGTAAAGGGTCAGACAGTAAATATCTTTGGCTTTTCAGGCAACACAGCCTGTCACAAGGCATCTGTGATGCTGTAGAGTAAAAGCAATATGGTACATGCACAAGTTGATGCTTTAGGTATCTTAAATGAATGTTTTCTACTGAGCACAGCTGTATTTCAATCAAATTGTAGACACTGAAACCTGAAATTCATATAACGTTCCCAGTTTGAAATATTCTCCTTTAAAAATTTTCCAAACCGTTGAAAAAAATGTAAAAACCATTCTTAGGTATGAGCCATACAAAAACACAGTATGTTGTCGATGGGGGACCCATTCTCTAGACCAGAGTCCTCCTCCGGATAGGACTTCCTTCCAGTTTCCTTTCTGTAGAGGAAGCAGCTGCAAAAACCTGTTTCTGTTTCTTTTTCTTTTTGAGACAGAGTCTCACTCTGTTGCCCAGGCTAGAGTGCAATGGCACAATAATCTCAGCTCACTGCAACCTCTGCCACCAGGGTTCAAGCAATTCTCCTGCCTCAGCTTCCCAAGTAGCTGGGACTGCAGGCACGCACCACCACATCCAGCTAATTTTTGGATTTTTAGTAGAGGATTTTTAGTAGAGTTTCACCATGTTGGCAAGGATGGTCTCGATCTCTTGATCTCATGATCCACCTGCCTTGGCATCCCAAAGTGCTGGGATTACAGGCATCACACACAGCGCCCGGCCACCTGTTTCTGTTTCTGACATTGCTCGACTGCAATGGTCAGAGTGACCCTTTGAGACCAGTGAGACTATCTTGAAGGAAAAAGACAGCGGGGAGCAATCACCAGAAGAGAAAAGGAGAACAACAGTACATGTGAGAAAAGTGAATGGGTGCTTAGGAAGCAACCCAGGAAAAACCATGAACCTACAGGAATGCTTTTTTTTTTTGAGACAGAGTCTCGCCCGGTTGCCCAGGCTGGAGTGCAATGGCGCAATCTCAGCTTACTGCAACCTCCGCCTCCCGGGTTCAAGCGATTCTCCTGCCTCACCCTCCCAAGTAGCTGGGATTACAGGCACGCACCACCACACCCAGCTCATTTTTTGTATCTTTAGAACAGATGAGGTTTCACCATGTTGACCAGGCTGGTCTCAAACTTCTGACCTCGTGATCTGCCCACCTCGGCCTCCCAAAGTGTTGGGATTACAGGCATGAGCCACCAAGCCTGGACAGCAATGCCTCTCTTGGCTCTGATTTGTTTGAGACGGGGTCTCACTCTGTCACCCAGGCTGAAGTGCAGTGGTGCAACCATGGTTCACTGAAGTCTCAACCTCCTGAGCTCAAGAGATCCTCCCTCCTGAGTACAGGTGTGTACCAACACACCCAGCTAATTAAAAAAAAAAAAAAATTAAGAGATAGGGTCTCACTATGTTGCCCAAGCTGGTCCTGAAGTCTTGGGCTCAAGGGATCCTCCCGCCTAGGCTTCCCAAAGGGTTGGAATTACAGGCCTGAGCCCCCACAGCCAGCGGTTTTGGCATTTTTTTTTTTGTTTTGTTTTTCTTGAAATGGAGTCTTGCTCTGTTGCCCAGGCTGGAGTGCTGAGGGACGGTCTCAGCTCACTGCAGCCTCCGCCTCCCACATTCAAGCATTCTCCTGCCTCAGCCTCCAGAGTAGCTGGGACTACAGGTGCCTGTTACCACACCCAGATAATTTTGGTATTTTCAGTAAAGACAGGGTTTTACCATGTTGGCCAGGCTGGTCTCCAACTCCTGATCTAGTGATCCACCCGCCTCTGCCTCCCAAAGTGCTGCAGGCATGAGCCACCGTGCCTGGCCCTGTTTTGGCTCTTTTAAAGCAGTAACTTCATTATAACTCTATCAAAACAGAAAAAAAATAACTTCACATTTTAGTTCCAAGAAAAGGTCAGTAAAATCCCCAAATAGCAAAAATTGCGGGTGTTTCTGGGAGACTCTTCTTGGAAGTCCCTATGCCAGTTCTCCAGAGCTGCACAAATGCAGACTCTCAATTCAGAAAATCAGCAGACTCAGTTCCTCTTACCAGGCCTGAGATTCAGGCTAAGGACAGCTCCAAGACTTAGGTGCAAGCACTGGTAGCTTCCTCTAAGCCAAACCAGCCAGTCCTGACAATTTGTAACCTCGCTCTCGGGGGCACCAAGAGGAACCAAACTCATCCTACTGAAGACCCAACAGGGGACGGGGGTAAACGACCATCAACGGTTTCATGGTCCATCTCCAGTGTGATGACAGAAAGCAAATGTATTCTGGTTACTGCTGTTATTTTGGTTTCAATACTATTTTAAAATATCTCATGAATGTAGTGTTCACTAACACATCTTTTCACCATAAAATCAGCTATGAGCCCATGGTAACATAACTGGAAAGTAACAAGAGGGTATGTGGACGCTCCATCATTCTTGTGGTGCAGGCCAATCCTGTATTTCCGAAAAACTTGGACAACCATCGCCTTCAAGAGCCACCCAGGCCCCAGCACATACAAGCACTCCCCACCACCACTCAGCGGCACAAAACAGCCATAGGCCAAGTTGTCTGTATGAAGCATATCTTTTTTCTTTTAATATTTTTCGTTTTGTTTGGATAGATAACGCATACAAAGGGTAACAAAATGCAAATAGTATAAAAGGGAAAGGAAGTCTCCTTCCAACCGCGCGGTTCCCCTCCCCAGGGCAGTTTCCTGTGTTCCCTTGCAGAGGTACTCTGCATGTTTACAAGCGTGTATGTTTATTAGTCTCAGGTAGAGATTAGAGAAATGTAGATGGGATCTTCCCAACTGTCCCAGGCTGGGTTCAAGGGTGAAATTCGTGGGAAGGGATCTGAGTAGGAAGGGGGCCTTGGGCTTCGACCGTCAGCTTAAAGCTACCCTGGACGAGTCCTTTCGGCCGGCTCTGGGCTCCCTCCCCTCCTCTCGGGGATTTCCGTCTGTGATAGCGCACCTCCCCGCTTAAAGCTTTTCAAAGATCCCTTCAAGGCCATCGGTTAGCGCTGAAAGAGAAGCGTCTACGACACCACCACCCCCGACCAAGGATAGGTACCCGGCAGCCCACCCGGGTTCCCCAAGCACTAGACACGGCTTTAACGCCTTCCCCCGCCGCCAGGAGTCCCGTGCGTCGTGCAGAGACGGCCGAAACTCTGGGTCCGCCTCCCTGCTCGGGCCTGTAACTGGAAGAAGCAGCAGCATTAGCTCCCCCTCGCCCCTACACTGGCCAGGGATGTCCTCGGTTCCCGCAGTGGGTGTGTCCGGGTGGCGGAGAAAGGGTTAAATCGGGGCTAGCCTGGTCTGGCGGCGGGGAGTCACCTGTAGCCACGGTTGGTAGCCCGCGGAGGGATGCGGTAGACGTGGACGTCAGGCTTGACACACAGCACCGACTCGTACCCGCTCTCCTCCATCGCGACGCCTGGAGCCCACCGGACTTCCGGCTCCTTCCACCGTTCCTCCGTTCTACGGCCGGAAGCGGTGCGACTCTGTGACCAGGTTGGCTAGAGCGGCAGCTAGGGGGGCCTCAGCGCCGCCTCCTTTGTGTGCCCTCTGCTGGAGGCCTGGCTCAAGACACGCGGCGGGCCACCTCCGGAGGCTTCGCTCTCCCTCCAGACACCCTCTAACGCAGAGAAAGCGCCCGGGACCCCGCCATATACGGACCCGCCATAACCCGTGGTCTGGGTGTGGATCATCCCCATCGCTTCAGTTCTTAGGCCTGGGACCCAGTTGGCCTAGAGGCAAAACTGTAGCCCACCCTGCAGCATCTCTGTCCGCCAGCCTTTGCCTCCACTCCGCCCTGGCCTGGATATGCTTCCCTCTCCTGACTGTTAAGGTTCAGCTGTCACCTGATCCACCAAATTAAGCGCCCTTACCCTACCGCCCTCCATGCTTCACCTATGGGAACCCACGTATGTGCTCAGGGCCCTGTGTGGCCACACCTCAACAACGAGTTGTACTCAAAGAAGTAAAGTTTAGTAACACAAGTAATTTAAGAAGAATCCAGGCCTGGCGCGGTGGCTCACACTTGTAATCCCAGCACCTTGGGAGGCCAAGGTCGGTGGATCACTTGAGGTCAGGAGTTCGAGGCCAGCCTGGCCAACATGGTGAAACCCCGTCTCTACTAAAAATACAAAAATTAGTTGGGCTTGGTGGCTTATGCCTGTAGTCCCAGTTACTCCAGAGGCTGAGGCACTAGAATCGCTTGAACCCGGGATGCAGAGGTTATGGTGAGCTGAAATTGTACCACTGCACCTCAGCCTGGGTGACAGAGCAGTATTCTGTTTCAAAAAACAAAAAGAAAAAAGAAGAATTCCAGTCTTTTTGATGGAGTCTCCCTCTGTCGCCCAGGCTGGAGGGCAGTGGCGTGATCTTAGCTCATTGCAACCTCTGCCTGCTGAGTTCCAGCGATTCTCCTTCGTAGCTGGAACTAAAGGCACGTGCCACTGTGCCCGGCTAATTTTTTATTTTTATTTTTTATTAGAGATGGGGTTTCATCATATTGGCCAGACTGGTCTCGAACTCCTGACCTCATGATCCACCCACCTCAGCCTCCCAAAGTTCTAGGATTATAGGTATGAGCCACTGCGCCCGGCTAAGAATACCAGTCTTGACTTCGATTTCTCCCAGAATATTCTGGGAGATACTATGTTTACCGTAGCCAAATTCTCAAAATCCCTCCTTCCCTACCATTCTCTCATTCATTATGTGAGTTGAGTGCCTACAATGTGCCAGTCTCTATGTGGGGCACAGCTGATCCCAAATCCCTGACTCACTGAAGACCCCAAACTTTCCGCACCTCTTCTTTCCTTTTCTCTCTCACTCTAACCCCTTCTACTTTTTACTCTTTTTTTTTTTCTTTTCCAGACGGAGTCTCACTGTGTTGCCCAGGCTGGAGTGCAGTGGTACGATCTCAGCTCACTGCAATCTCTGCCTCTCTGGTTCAAGCGATTCTCCTACCTCAGCCTCCCAAGTAGCTGGGATTACAGGCGCCTGCCACCACACCTGGCTAATTTTTGTATTTTTTTGGTAGAGACAGATATTTCACCAGGTTAGCCAGGCTGTTCTCAAACTCCTGACCTCAAGTGATCCACCCGCTTTGGCCTCCCAAAGTGCTGGAATTACAGACATGAGCCACCGTGCCTGGCCATTTCTACTCATTTTTTTTATAAGCTTTTTATTATAGGATTGATCTAACCACTTACATTTTTATTGTAAAATATACATAACATAAAATTTACCATTTTAAGAGTGCAATGCTGTGAAATCAAGTACATTCACAATATTGTGCAACCATACCATGCTTTCCAGAACGTTTCATCATCCCAAACAGAAACGTCACACCCATTAAGCAATAACTTCATTCCCTCCTGCCCCATCCCTTGGTAACCTCTGTCCTACTTTCTATCTCTATGAATTTGCCCATTTTAGATACCTCTTACAAGTGGAATCATGCAATATTAGGCTTTTGTGTCTCTTATTTCACTTAGGATCAAGTTTTCAAGGTTCATTCATGTTGTAGCATGGATTAGAATTTCATTCCTGTTCATGGATGAATAATATTCCATTGCATGTATGTACCATATTTTGTTCATTCATCTGTCAGCAATTGGGTCGTTATCACCTTTTGGTATTGGGAATCAGGCTGCTGTGAGCATTGGTGTTCAAACACTTGTTCAAGTCCTTGTTTTCCATTTTCTTGAGCGTATATGTACACGTGAAACTGCTGAGTTACACAATAATGCTACTTTTAGCGGTTTGGTTTCGTTTTGTTTGAAACGGCATCGCACCCTGTTGCCCAGGCTGGAATGCATTGGCATGATCATGGCTCACTGCAGCCTCTACCTCCCAGGCTCAAGTGATCCTCTCAACTCAGTCTCCCAAGCAGCTGGGACTACAGGTGTGAACCTCCATGTCCAGCCTTGTTCGGCTTTTTGAAGAGCCTCCAAACTGTCTTCCACAGCAGCAGTATCATTTTACATCCACAGGGGTTTCAATTGCTTCACATTTTTGTGAATATTGATCATTTTCCTCTTTTTTTTTTTTTTTTTTTTTTTTGGTTAAAGACAGGGCCTCTGTCTCCCCACAATGGAGTGCAACAGTGCAGTCATCGCTCACTGCAGCCTCAAACTCCTGTGCTCAAGGGATCCTCCTGCCTCACCCTTTTGAGTAGATGGGCCTGCAGGCACACACCACCCTACCCTGCTAATTTTCATACTTTTTGCAGAGACGGGGGTCTTTCTATGTTGCCCAGGCTGCTCTTGAATTCCTGTCTTCAAGAGATCCTGCTGCCTCAGCTTCCAAAGTGCTAGGATTATAGGCATGGACCACCACACCTGGCCGACTTTTTTTTTTTTTTGAGACTTAATCTCATTTTACTGCCCAGGCTAGAGTGCAGTGGTGCAATCTCGGCTCATTGCAACCTCTGCCTCCTGGGCTCAAGCGATTCTCCTGCCTCAGCCTCCCAAATAGCTGGGACTACTGGCACGTGCCACCACGCACAGCTAATTTTTGTATTTTAGTAGAGACAAGGTTTCACCATGTTGGCCAGGATGGTCTCGATCTCCTCCCAAAGCGTTGGGATTACAGGCGTGAGCCACGTGCCCTGCTTTTTTTTTTTTTTTTTGTCATAGCTTCACTCTCATTGCCTTGGGTGGAGTGCAATGACACCATCTCAGCTTACAGCAACCTCTGCCTTCGGGTATCAAGTGAATCTCCTGCCTCAGCCTCCTGAGTAGCTGGGATTACAGGCATGAGCCACCATGCCTAGCTAATTTTGTATTCTTAGTAGTGACAGGGTTTCATCATCTTGGTCAGGCTGGTCTCGAACTCCTGACCTCAGGAGATCCACCAGCTTCAACCTCTCAAAGTGCTGGGATTACAGGTGTGAGCCACCACACCTCGCCATTCAGAGCACTTTCACTTCTGTTCAGTCTAACAAAGACAGGCCTCGAGCACATACCCTATGCCAGGTGCTGAGTGCTGGGGTCACTGAGATGCGGCCAGTCCAGCTCCTGTCATTCAAGAGCTCACAGACTGGAGGAGACAGAGAGAAAAGCAGTCGTTGGCAATGCAGAATGAAAGCTACTATAATGAAGCAAATTCACAGGAAGCTGTGGGAGCAAGGAGAAGAAACCCACACACTCTGGGGACAGTCAGGGAGGGATCCCTGGGAGAGAGTACCCTGGCACAATAACCACTGTGAGGTTGGCAAGGCAACGATTGTTATCCTCATTGTGTGATGGGGGCCACTGAACCAGTGACAAGCTGGGGGAAATGACACTGCCGGGCAGTTGGAAGTCAGACAGCCCTTTGCCTTATTCTCAAACTCTAACCACATGGCTGGATACTCCTGAAATGCATTCCTAAACCTCTGCTGCTGAGAATAATTGGACCTACCGTCTATTCCCAGTGTAACTACCTGTATACCAAACAAATCCAATTCAAGCCAACGGGCAAAGTATAGGCTCAGACAGAATCCATCCTGTGTGTGAGGTGGTGCGCAAGCGTGGAAAACCTCACTGTGACTCATCCAGCTGATTTCTGGTAGGTCCAGGGCCAAGGTGGGGATGTGATGTGAGCAAGCTTTCCTTGACAGCCTCCAGACATATATATGATAGGTCACTTATCTTTCTCTGCCGTATTTTCCTGCCGTCATAGATATTTCCAAGAGAAATTCTCCTATTTTTCAGATGAGGAAACCGCTTATAAAAGGGGCACTCAACACCCAAAGAATCTTGAAAAAGAACAAAGTTGGAGGACTCACACTTCCTGATTTGAAAAGTTTTTATTTGTTTATTTTTCCATAGGTTATTTTTCCATAGGTTATTGGGATATAAGTGGTACATGAGTAAGTTTTTGGTAAGTTGTTGTGATTTTTTTGTTTGTTTGTTACATAAGTTTTGGTTATTTTGATTACATGAGTAAGTTTTTTGTTTTTGTTTTTGTTTGATACAGTCTTGCTCTGTGGCCCAGGCTGGCATGAAGTGGCGTGATCTCGGCTCACCGCAACCTCCACCTCCTGGGTTCAAGTGATTCTCCTGCCTCAGCCTTCCAGGCAGCTGGGATTACAGGCATGCACCACCACGCCTAGCTAATTTTTTTATTCTTAGTAGAAATGGGGTTTCATCATGTTAGCCAGGCTGGTCTCAAACTCCTGACCTCAAATGATCTGCCTGCCTTGGCCTCCCAAAGTGCTGGGATTACAGGCGTGAGCCACCTTGCCTGGCATGAGTAAGTTCTTTAGCAGTGATTTGTAAGATTTTGGTGCACCCTTAACCAAGCACTATACACTACACCCTCTTTGTAGTCTTTTTTTTTTCTTTTTCTGAGACAGAGTCTTGCCCTGTTGCCCAGGCTGGAGTGCAATGGTACTTTAGTAGAGACAGGGTTTCACCATGTTGGCCAGGCTGGTCTCAAACCCCTGACCTCGTGATCCACCTGCCTTGGCTTCCCAAAGTTCTGGGATTACAGGTATGAGCCACC